CGTACGACCTACTCCCTTACTCTCAGCCACTGATAATCAGTTCACGAAATAGCTAGGTTAAAGTTGAAACCCTGATCTCGTTTGCGCCTGTTCACAGGCCGAACCCACCACCTCCGACCGATAGATCTTTTCGTTTGCATAATACGCCATTGAAGAGTCAAGAGCTGACTCCATAATAATATAAATAACACAAATCCAATTCTTCGCACATCCATATTCACCAACAACGGTAACATTTGTGTAATAACATTGGTTAACACTGATTGGCTCATTATCCTTACTCTACGCCATTGTAGACACTCGGGCGTAAAGGGACCTTAATCCTACAGCCTATGTAACGCCTACTTCTTTGATCCACTACTCCTACTGCCATTGTAGACCACGCTTAATAATTGTTTAGTGATTTTCTTTTTTTTTAATTAAAAATTAGATTGGGGTTATGTTGTTTCTACGCTCAATAAATAATAACTTCAGGTGCAATAATGTTTCATTATTGAAATTGTTTTATTATTTACAATAGTTTAGTATTAGTATTAAATTGAAAGATTATAAAAAACTGGAAACACAGAACTGTAATCACAAAGTAATGAAAAACTGATTGACTTTACTTGTACAATGGTATTTAAATAAAAAAAAAACCGAAACATGTGTCATGGGTACTTAATAATTTACGACAAAAGAGTAAATTAAATTACTGTAAATTTTACAGTGACTGTGGTTTCTGTATCCAACGCTCTTTTTCAGTCCTATATTTATGCTATAGTTTACTCTATATTTACTGAAGCTACATTTTTATATACATATTACATAACATTTTTTAATGCTACATTTATTTTTAACATATTTTTTCTAATAGCATAATAAGCACGCTGACATGAAAAACAAAGGGACTCACATAAAACTAGTACCAACATACTTACACAGTTAGTCCTTTTCTGGTTACATATATAATATGTACATACAAAATCCAACCGAGCAATCTGCCCGTGATATACAGGGAGCTCCCGGATTAAATGGCCAGACTTGAAAGATGTATTTAGGACCTCAAAGCAAGACAGATTTTCCTCTGGAAATATGCTCGTAAACGTTCACGTGATATTTGACTTCTGAAGTTATGAACTGTTAGGAATGAATAATTTCGAAATAATTTAGATTTATCCTCTTTATTGCTTTCTAATAATAAAAATTTAATTATTAAACGTTTTGTTCAAAATGATGGCCTCCAGCTTGGAGACATGCATTGCACCTATCGATGACAGAATGAGTGGCTGACTGACATTGTGCGTCTGTAATTTTGTTACACGCCTGTACTATCCTCCGTTTTAATGATTGAAGATCATAACAGGCACTTCATACCAGTTTATTCGACGAAAGCATTCAACGAACTAAGTACGATGATACGACGCTTTGTTTACCATGCAAATAAAAGTCTATCAATGACCTTCGATTTCGTAAACAAAGTTCCGTCGTACTGTATGTTTTGCGATTAAATCAAACAAATTATAATTTACAATTCTCGCAAAACATTTTATGGACAGATGAAGCCATATTTACCAGACAAGGAATTCTGAATCAAAGAAATAGTCATATTTCGAAATTATTCATTCCTAAAAGTTCATAATTTCAGACGTCAATATCTCTTGAACGGAACGTTTACGAGCATATTTCCAGAAGAAAATTTTTCTTGTTTTGAGGTCCTAAATACATCTTTCAAGTTTGACCATTTAACCCGGGAGCACCCTGTATAATATAACGGGTAATACTAATGCTGGTGATCCTCAAATTTTGATGTCTCATTAAAATACTCAGAAAAGTTTGAACAAAATTCAACTTAACCAGTGTTTTGACAAAGTCTCGATGTTCGCTACAAAAATCAACAATAACAAAATAGGATTCCTATTAAAAAATTTTAATGTTAATTTTCGCGTGACCTTGGAATTGTTATAAAAGGTTAAAGTAATTTTACCACTTTGTGTCATCCAACTAATGCAACTTTTGTCTGAAAAAAATTTTGCTTATGACGAGGTACAGAAAAGATATCAAAATGCACTATTTAACCCTTTCAGGGACAGTGGAAAGTGTATTTCCCACTTAATCTTTGTTAGGTTTTTGTATGTTACTTATACATATATATTTTACAATAACTATGTATAGATTCATTTGTTGTAAAAAATATAAAATTCCAACTAGCGGATCCAATTATATGGTGGACAAAATTTTCAAAATCAACCGGATTTGTTTAAAACTTACCGTTTAGGAATTTTCGAGGTTGCTGATTAGTAGTTCAACGTAAAAAAATATAAATGTGGGAAATCGAAATGGGAAATCAATAATAACAAAAACCCCCAAGTGACAAGTTTGAAGCGAACTCGGTTAACTTTGAAAATTCCGTCCGCCATATCGGATTCGCCACTTTGAATTTTTATTAATTAATACATTATTTGTAATCAGCGATCTCAAAAACCACTATATACATATGATTGCACAAATTAATCAAAACGTTTAAAATTTAGTATATCATCCCAGCAAACACAAAGTAACAGTTACATAACTGTAAGTTAAAATTTCCTACTCAACAATATAACTATTACATAACACACGTGTTATATAAGTTATATTGTTGAGTAGGAAATTTTAACTTACAGTTATGTAACTGTTACTTTGTGTTTGCTGGGATGGCTGCCATATTATATCGGTCATTTTGAATTTTCAAATTCTAACTACAGATTCAGTATCCCGAAAAACGTATAACTACTAAAGAGGATGATATAATAAAATGGTTCAGTAACAAAATGTGCCTCTGAAAGGGTTAAAATGAGACACTCTATATGTGCGCAAGTACGTCTATGGTAAATAAATATAAGAACTTCATTTCAAATTTATATGATGACACTCACATAAATATTATTTCATTGCTTTTATTTATAGCAATTTTAACATAACATGGGAAACTGTTTCCTACAAAACTTTTTTTATGCGAGAGATATTTAGGCTACATTCATATCCACTGCCAATATTGAAAATTTATAGTGTATACGATGTAAACTATTGATTTTTAATACTAGCAACAAATATCAGAACACACCCTCAGTATACTTTTCGTCTTTTGTTTTTCTCTAAATATTTAAGTCAGTCTGTATAGAATTCATTGTAAGAGAAAAATTCATAATTATTAAATTGTCCAGATTGTTAATTGGATTGTTAATAGGACTTAATCTGATCTTTAGCCTTTTATCAACAAAATGTTCATAAACTTAACATCTCTTCTTATTCTCATTACTTCATGCATATGAAATCTCGACTTTTGCCATTTAATCACATATATGTATACGAAAATGTCAGCTTACAAATTATAAAACATTTTTATTTTGCACAAGTACTATTAGAATAGAGTTCTTGCACATAAAACATAGTAGAAATATTTGCTACATGGCGAAAAACAACGCGGCAAACATTTGTACATATTGTATAGCAACTATAAGACTAGAGGTTGAAGGAAACCTTGAAATTAAAGAAATTATTAAGAATATAAAACTCTCGGTATGCTAAACTTAAAATAGTATAATAAATGTCTAACAATTTTTTAATTGCTTGTATTTATAATTAAATTGTAGTAATCATAACATTCTTATATCATTTTTGACCTACTGAGGACACATATGATGATTATGGGTGCTGCATTGTATGGAGTATACAAAAGAGGATCAACTGAACCTCATAGATGAGGTAATGTGTCTACTTCACCCATTTCTGTAAATGTTTCATCGTCCATTGTGTAGCTTAACATAAACTTCAAAGATATCGGCTCCTGAAAGGAATCAAATACTCATAGAAAGAAAATTTGAATACGAACTCTCATAAAATCAATACTTCCTCTTGCATTGTTTTTTCATTACTTCACACTTGCCATGTATATGCAGATCAAAAATGTCATTTGGTAAATTATGACTAAAATGACATTTTTATTCTATACTCTTGCATAAGCGCCCGTGTGAAGTATACATATTATACATATGTATATGTGAGGTTGCCCCTTTTGTAAACATTTATAAATATTTTTAACTTTCTACAAGTTATATTAAGGAATTACCTCATAAAAAGCAACTTTACAGAATTTTGTTTTAAAGTTTATGTAAAAATTGTCATCTCATCATATTAACAATTAATTTGAACATTTTTTATTTCAAATAATTGAATTACTAATTTATTTTCAGAATGAAGAACTGTAACTTACGTTACCTTGAGAGGATTTGCAATCAACATAATCTGCGTAATTGCAGACGGAGGAAGAAATGGATTATGCGCCGGCAACTTTGTCCCAGATGGCGTCTGAAGTCTACATTTGCATTTCTATATGCACAGTTACATAAAATTAAAGTTATAAAAATATCTGTTTAATTCAATAATTTCCAATTTCTCGAAAAATATGTAAAACTCATAAATTTTTAGAATATTAATATTTTTAAAACATTAAGAACTTAAAATTCTGCCATCTCCTTGTCAGATTTTTTTATATTAAACTTATATTCTAATATACTATTAGAATTTAAGATTTTATAGAATATTTTTATATCTTCAAGTTATATCAAATTATTTAATTATATATTGTTTAAATTTCTAAGAAGTTTAAAAAGATATTCTAACTCTTTAACAATTACCTTGGGCACAACTGCTTGAAATAAATAATTACTAAGTGGCTTTGCATTTTTGCTCATTGTAGTAATTACTATTACAGATACATCTGATCTAGGAGTATCTTGAGTAAAATGAAGCACCACACTAATACCATTTTTTTCCTCAATTACCGTTACAGGTGGATTTATTCCTGTAAAGTCACTAACATTAGTTTTTGAAAATTATATATGTATACAATACAGGGTGTCCCAATTTAATGTCCCACCCCAAATAACTTTATTTTTAACTGCAGAAAAAACATTTCAACTGCAACTCAAAAGTTATTCGGTTCAAAGGGGGACATAAGATGGTACCATTAGTTTGACCTTGACGAGTTGCATGAAGGTCACGTAAAGGTCACCTTCAATTTTTTAAATGGAACCCCCTATTGTTTATTATACTATCTTATTCTACTAATTAATATAAATAATTTTTGTCTGAAGCATTTTTCGATTTGCCTAATACTTTGCGAGATATTCAAGAGAAAATTGACAACTTTTTCAATATTTAGCTTGCGATATCTCGATAACTGTCTGTTGGAGGGAAAAGTAGTACAGGACTTTTTTACTTGATTTGGTTTCAGGAATATGCTGTTGTAAAAGTGTTCCAATATTGTAACATACACCAAATTTACATAAACAACAATTTTCAATAATTGGAGCACTATTGCAACAGCATATTCCTGAGACCAAATCAAGTAAAAAAAGTCTTGTACTACTTCTCCCTCCGGCAAACAGTTATCGAGATATCGTAAGCTAAATATTGAAGAAGTTATAAATTTTCTCTTGAATATCTAAAAAAGAATTAGGCAAATAAAAAAATGTTTCAGATAAAAGTTGTTCATATTGATTAATAGAATAAGACTGTATAATAAACAATAGGGGGTTCCATTAAAAAAATTGAAGGTGATCTTTACGTGACCTTCATGCAACTCGTCAAGGTCAAACTAATGGTACCCTCTTGTGTCCCCCTTCGAACCAAATAACTTTTGTCTGAAATGTTTTTTCTGCAGTTAAAAATAAAAAGTTATTTGAGGTGGAACATTAAATTGGGATACCCTGTATAAACAATGTAGATATTATAAAGAAAATTAAAGTAATCAAGATAAAACAATATTATGATATTGAAATGTATCTAGTAACCTGGCTTAATGTCTTCAAGGCAGACTGTGATATCGGTCAATGGTTTGATTTCAGGCTCAGTATTTTCTATCCTTGACATACCGTTATGTAATTGCATCATTTCCTGCTGTTGTATTTTTGCATTTGTTATTTCTGAATTACTATTTTTCTGGCATACATCAATAGTTGAGACAATTTTTGATGAATTTGAGGATGCCAAATTGTCCATATTACTGTTTCTTTCACATTTTTTCGTATTTAGCTGTTCCATCGTGTTATGTTGCGATATGTTATTAGAATCCTGGGATATATTTTGTTTTCGAATAGGATCACAGATGCTTTGAACTTTCGTGACATTACTATTTGTTTTGCTGTAAAAATATCAAATATTTTTCCTTTTAATTAAAATGTTTGGAAAATTTTGAAATATATCATTTATACAGAATAAGATAGACCTAGTGTTAAATCATTTTATCTGTTAAACAACTTATTTTAGTGAAACATACTTTAGGTGAAAGTTCTTTGATGTTTAAAGAAATACATAACATGTGTGTAATCTTGTATGACTTTAGAAAAAGCACTTTATTAAGATCACTTCAAATTCTTTGAATTCTTATTTTTTATTGCATATTCTTCTAGTTGGCATTTATAATATTTTCAAATTGATCCCATTAAATCCCTTTTCATGAAGAAATTTCCAACTTATGAATTATTAGTCATAGAAGTTACCATCAGTAATTGCATATCTGAAATATACTTAAGTATACTATATGTATATTGTGTGTAAGACTAGATCAGATTAGATTTTGTATGTGCATATATGCGTAAACAGACATAAACGGCAATAACTAGGCTCACGCATGTACATTTGACTAGAATTCGTATTATACATATTCATATTTTACGACTGTTTATTAACAGTCAAGGATTAAAGATAATTTTCAGAGTAAGTATGCTAAAGCTAAAGTATTCAGAAGTTTCAGATAAAATAATTTAACACTTCAGCTACCATATCCTAGAAAAAATTGAAAACCTTCCTACATCAGACAGGTTTTTAGTTTTTAACAGATTTGTAATTTAAAAGTTTTAATAGATTCCTAGTTGTATTCAGGATTTAAAACTCAATATCCACAAATATGCTTACCCTTGTGAGGAATGTGTAATTGATACTGTTCCCGATAAACTTTGTTTAAGTAAAGACTCTCCCAATTCGTTCAACTCTTCTAGTGCTTTTGCTTTACTGTCAATTTTTTCTTCATCAGTATGGGTAACTTCGTCTACGGAATATTATTATTTAAAAAAACTAGTACAATAAACATGTAATGAATAAATGTAAAAAATATACATAAAACGTAAACTGTTTTATCATTTTGTAAATCTCTGACAATGAGTTTTACATTCAATTTTTTCAATGATGCTTTTTACTAACTTTTCTTATTTATGGGCAAGATACTGGTTGGTTGCATTATGGCGTTTGGCATTAAGAAATTTGCTTCAGATTTGACTGGTTTCTCCAGAGTATTAAAGATATCTCCCAGCACATCCATATCTGAGCGATAATCTGTCGACGATATGCTCTGTGTCGTACTTAAACTGCTTTTACAGGGAATAATCTCTGTAGGAAACGATAGATCCAGAAGGGATAGTTCATTATGAATTGGCTTAGAAGCTTCTGCTGCAGATTTGGGTAATTGTCCAAGGATGATAACTGATGTGTACTTCTCAAAGACTTGATTTAATTCATCGCTTGCAGCTAGTACATCACCTAGTGTCACAGAGTGCAAATTAAAAATTAATTAAAGAGATTTCAGCTTTATGAATTATAAATTAATATAAGCAAGAAAAAGATCGATGCAGACGAATCAAGTATCAGGATGCACAATTCAGTTTTCTGGTATATTGTTTTGTAAAATAATCCCGTATCTAAATTGAAATACTCTGTACAGTTTTTGACTTGCTTTCGTACATAAAATATACAGATTTTCAATTTTAAAATATATATTTGTCGATTATATTTTTAAACTGATTAATTATACTATTAACAGACGTAAACAGAATTTTCTTAGGTGATAGTTATAGAAAATCTAACAAATCGTTATATTTAAATAAGACAAGATACCAAGCATTTCGACGTTGCCTTGAGTTTCGCTGGCAAGCCTCAACAAAACAGGTTTCAGTCGCTCGCATGCTTGGTACAGTTCTTTTATCAATTCAAGATCCTCTGCACTGGTTTCATTCTGATTATATGAATCTAGCATTTCTGACAGTAGTATTACATTGTTTTGCACAGATTCTAATTCCATGCTTCTTTGCGAATGTAACTGCAGTCGTGCCTCATCCTACAAAGATAGATATCAATAATCTTTAAAAAGCAAACTATATATAAAAAAAAGGATTTAACAAATGTCTTGAATAAGAAAGATAAAGAATAAAATATTAAAATCCCTCTAAGCATTTTATTTCAAATGCCTTTTTTAAATAGATACCTCTTTCACCATAAACTTGATTAGTCGGTTTGCAGTTTGCAGATCAGATGGATCCTTACTATAAAGTAATGTACGCAAGTGCCTTGACATCTCTTCATTTTCAAATATGTTTTTTATTTTAGACGATTTTTGACTTTCTTCACTGCTTGCCATTATAAACGCAGCATCCTCCTATAATGTATTCTTATCTCAAATTACAAAGTTTTAATAACTAAATAATAATTTATTTAATTTAGTTACTTTAAGCAAATGTTACAAGAGTAATATAAAAAAGTGAAAAATATTTGAGTGGCAATAATGAAATTACAATGAAATCTTTTTCCAGAAAAGTAAAAATAAATTATTTAATTTATAAAATAAATTATATAACACTAATTATATTACAATAATTAAAAGCAATCTGATAATTAAGTTTGCAGATAAAAATTTAATATAAATATAGTACTTATTTGCTTAAACGTAAAATAAAATTCGTCTACCTGTATGTACTTAATTTAATGTTTTCACTATTGACAATATTATTGACAATATTCTTGATATTATTAAAAACAGAAATCAGTTATGATATAAAATCTTCTTTAATAATTCAGTAAACATTTACTAGAAAATAAATGTTTTCTCCCAATTTTAAACATTAAATATGTTGTAGTATAGACAGATTAAAATAAGAGACATGTACTTTTATCAATGCTTTCATGCATGTTAAGAGATTAAACCTTTCCCCTTTAAAGAAAATCGATTATTTATGTTTCTAAGTGTATATAATTACAGCAAAAAAAGTTTAAACAAAAGTTATATGGTTTAAGACACTTTATCACGATGTATTTAGATATTTTTCAAAAATGAATTTAATACCTTTTATTTGCAATTTAGTTATTAAAAATACTTAGTTAAAAAATGTCTTATTTTCTTCTACAGCAATGCATGTGACGCATCAATATCTTGTAGACTGTAGAAGGAAGATACTTATTAAACATTTGTGGAGTCACTAGAAAACAAGTTACTTTTCAGGATAAAAACGGTAACAGTAACACATAACTTTTTTTAAATAACATTCCCAACTCTGCTCTGTTGTAAGTAAAAAGTACTTGTGACTCAGAGAAAAAGCATTTCTGGATTTCATCTTCATATTTTTACTTTTATCAAAATATCATTAAAAATATTCCAATTAATTTCTGAAACTCTATTTCTAAACTCTCGTATAAGATGATAAAACTGAGAATCCCAGACAGTTTTTGACAGATGACAATTCCATCTAGCTATTTAGCATCCCAAGATAAGAAAATAATTGTTGTTCTTAGTATTGCCATATTTGAAAAACACAAAAATAAACAAGAATATATCTGCAATATAATTATTAGACATAGTAACTTATAAAAATATAACCTCGATGACTCCTTGCTTCTTCAACATCTCGTAAGCCTCCTTAATTTTTGATTCGCGAGGATATTCTCTGATCCATGAATAAAGAAGTTGCAACACTTTTTGCCGCACGTCCGCTGTAGTACGATTACCTAAATATTTCGGCGAGACCAATTTTATCATCTCGTTAAGGAAACGGAATTTACCAACTTCTGCATGAAATAACGGACCACATCTCTTCATACAAGTATCTAGTAACTAAAGAAACAAAAATCTATAGAGTATACAAGAGTAATATTTTATTTATTTCAGTAATTTTTTTCTTTGTAAAATCATATAAATTCTAAGTTTTCAAAATTTTGTTAAGTCTACATTCTATTATCTCATTAAGTTTTCGATTGTTTTAAAATATAATTCACACTAGGTACTTTTAAAAATAGCACAAGATTACTAAAACGTCTTAACAAAATTACGCTATTTATCTCATTTTATTACTAATACATATAAAGAAATAACAGTTTAAATACTTTAAATTTTAATCTATTACACAGTAGTTCTGTTAATAATCTAATTAACCCATACAGCATAAAAGCTGCAACAGCATTGCCGCAACGTTGCAAGATTGCATATTGCAAATGCAACAATATTTCAAACACAATATTTGGTAATATTAAATCTGCAATATTGCAGCTACACTGCAAATACAATATTGTGCAATATCACTCTTATAATGTTGCAATTGTATTACAAAAACATTAACTTGCAATTATACAGTATAAATATTTTTTACAGCGTACATACAACGTTAATCGGGTTTTCTGAGTTCACAAGATATAGCTATAACACATGCAACTCGTAAATCATTCTAAAACATACAGGTTCAACCCTTTTTTTTATAATATAATACATCCCTGTGTAATTATTAAATATATATATAGGATGATTGAAAACAACCTTGTGTCCTTCAAAAGACGTAATCCTGACTAGATTCTGAAACGATTTTTCCTTTTACAAAACTTTATCCGAAATATAGTTTTTGAATTATGAAAGGAAATAGTTATCTTATTATCACAGGTTGAATGCAGAAAACAGGCTGTGGCGGTGCAACTCACCGTCAGACGTGACAACTAACAGCCACCTAATAGAAGCAACCACATATAACGCAGTAAATTGCGTCGCTATTGCCTACGTCCTGTATTCGAATCATGGTAAGAAAACTATTGCCTTTTATAATTCAAAAACTAGATTTTGGATAAAGTTTTGTAGAAGGAATAATCGTCTCAGAATCTCGTCAGGATTATATCTTTTAAGGACCAGGGTTGTTTCCTATCACCCTGTATACATACGTACAACGTTTTATTGCATTTTATTGCATTATGGCTACATTGTTACATTGCAATATTGCTGCAGTCTTGCATTTTCATATTGCTGCGTAGTTGCATTGCAATATTGCTGCACTGTTGCATTGAAATATTGCTGAAGGCGGACATTCTAATGTTGTTGCAATGTAGCTACAATATTGCAGCAACATTTCGCAATTTTGCTGCAATGATACAATCTTTCAAAACAATGTCTCTGCAACGTTGCTGCAATATTTCCATGCTGTATGGGAGAGATCTAAATGTATGTTTCTTCAATTTCAACAATATATTGAGTCAGTTTGTAGTATATCTGGGAAAAACGTACCGAAAGTGCTTGTAGTGCTTCTGATTCATCAAGTGATTGAATTTGCGTTGCCAATAACCTGATACCTATTTGTATACCTTCTGTTTCTTTAGTAAGCATCACGCAGAAAGCTTCGATGGCCGCTACATCTGACTTCTGGTTTGCTGGATTTGTAATCCTCTCTGTAGCCAGAAATTATATATGTATTTATGTACATAAATATATATTTGTTTAATATAAAACTTTAAACTTTTGTATCGGCTGACATATGATGCTATCGTCTAATCATCTATATCAAACCAAGAAAGGAAAGCCATATTACGTGGCAAAAAAATGAAAATTAGAAGTTACCTATAATTTTGAACTCATAACATTTATATAATTCAAAATAATTCTGCCATATTGTATATTAGAATATGTATTTCAAGTGGCGCCACAATTGGTAATATATCAGAATATCCGTGTAACAATAAAAAGTTATAGTAGATAACTTCTAGAAATAATTATATTCACAACAACAGATTATATTCAGCTTGAACATAATTTGCTATCCAGCCATTTCTTACTAAGTTCACCACTTTAGGAAATAAAAACGTGACCATTTATAACGAAATACTGTGCATACTGTATTTTTATATATGTGTATGTGATAGAAAAAAATATCGTAAAATAAGTATGAGTTTAATTAATACATGAAATCTGTCTTATTTGAACAGAAGAAAGTAAAACAATAAATCAATTTTGTATTGTAGTTCATATCGCACATACTCACGTATTAGAGCTTCTAAGCTAGTAGTCACCACGTCCATGCTGAAAATCGTAACCACTTAACGCTGTATATAATTTTCAGACTTACAGGAGATTAAAACGAAACTCCCAGCATTTTATGTCAGAAATATCTTTGTGACATCTCAATTGTTACTCGGGACAAATAACAATCACAAATTGCTATGTTGTACCACTGTCAATAGAGCTCACTAATTATTTCTAGGTTTCTGTTATTGATTTTCAATTAATATAAAATACCGATCTCAGCCACTTTACTGTGTATCTAACATATTATTTACTTGCTTTATGAATGGCTTTTCAACATAGAACAGCTGTCCTCGTTACAAGAAACATCTTACTTTACGTGTTATGCGTTGATTTACGTCGATATTATACTTTATAGTGCAGTAATAGTCATGCCAGTGGGAAATGCTGAGACCTCTTGCGGCAATAGCTCAAGGTTTCACGTTCAAAACTACCAACATAGGTCTAGTTTCCACCATAGTAACTAGTATGCTAGTTGCAGAGTGTAGCGCCCCTCTCTAATCGGAGTTTGACCAAAAAGAAGCACCCTGTGATTGGTGTCCGCCACTTTTCGTTCATTCGCGCCAGTTGTATAAAGCGGTATTTATTCATTTTAGCCTCCTCACCTCCAAAATCGAATAAAATTAGGCTTATTCAACGTTTCCGTTCAAAACAAGAGAATCTAGCAGAAAAAAGTGTGTTGCTCTGCCTCGCAAAGCGATATACACTACTAAAAAAAATAGGGAACACTTTTTATATCCTAAAAAATTTTCAAACCACTGAAACTCGGCGAAAAATTATCATAGACACAAAATTAAAAAAGCATTTTAAAGCTTGAAGTTTCAACTTTAAAACTCTGTCAACGATTTATTTAAATATGTTTATCTTCCTCCCCAGATAGCACAGGATGTCCTGTGGACGTCCAGTTTAAGTCCAATTTACGTCCGAACGTCCGTGGACGTGAAATGGACATTTAACGGACGTTGTCGTACCTTGAACGGATATCCTTTACGGGACATCTTATGGACATCCAATTTTTGTCAACGTTTGGGCTTTAGTTTTATCATCTTTAGTGTTGCAATAATGTTTAAAAAGAAATACTAGTTTTAGTTTTATAGTATTATAAAGTTTAATCCTTTCATAGTTGAATCTCCCGCCAGTTTAATCAGCCATGAATACAGTTTTGTTCTTTTGTTTATACTCACTCACTGCTTCTCTCTCGCACTCTTGTTCACGTCGCTACGAGTGTAGAACTTATAATAAATCGTTCCTTTCATAATCAATATCAAGGTTTAATCCCTACACTGCATTTTCATCAGGTTATGGGCCCAGTATCGTGGGACAATAAATAGTTTAGAAAATCAGTGTCCGTTGCGATCAATACCCACATAGCACTGACGTAACAA